ACTTTTTCTAATATATAATTTTTTTCAGAACAAAATATACTTTGTTGTCAGTAAACTTTTTATTATTTATTCTCATTTGTCAATAGTTATTTGAGAAGCAAAAAAATAAGGTAATGTACTCTACCGTTGGCTGTCGTCAGATTAGTTATTTGCATAAAAATGATTGAATTCAGATGGGATTATTTGATCAGAAAGAAAAATTTTCACCTTTGTATCCTTTTTTTTTGCTACGATATTTTTAACAATTAAATACTCATAAAAATTTTAATATTTTTAGGTTATTAATTTTGTATTTTAATTTCAAATTGTTAATTATACATTCTCATTTATTCTCCTAATAAAATGAAAAATATTAGTTAAAAAGAAGGTACAATAGTGCACAATAAAGTAGTATAATTAAAGTTCTAAAATAACATAGTGATCAAAATTAACTATATCAATCAATAATTGTATTGATATTTGATCAGTTCATGGATTTTGTTGAAATAATTTTTATGCATTGTTTTGAAAAGACTATTTCAAGTATTGATTGATCAAGCTGATAATTAAATCAGTAATTGATTGTTCAAAGTAAAACTGCAGCAAATTAATGAATTTCGATTTAAATCTGTCAAGTTTTGAGAAATGCTTAATCACGTGATAATTTTTTTCTATACAATATTTGTTCAGTATCAATCCAAAAATTAGTTTTATATTTTTTACTTCACTTTAGATTGTTCTACATGATTGCTATGAATAATTCTATTCTCTATAGAACTAAAAATAGAAACATTACATGTAATTTGTACTCTTTGAGATGAAAAATTATTAATGATTTAATTTTAATTCTTTACAGATAAGAATATGTTTTTTAGTTCTTAAATTGTCTAAAACAAGCAAATTTTATCGTTGTTTTCATCACAGACAACGAAGTGACACATTTTATGAATTTAATTTCTTTAAAAAATTCGATCAAATCTAACTGGTAATTATTTTAATAATTATGCGTTATTTAATGTTATTTGCGCTTTTTTAATAATTATTAAAAAGTATGATCCGAAAAATTTTATTGAAAGTATTAACTTTTTGGTTTAAAGTAAAACATCGCGTTGAAAAAGTTTTTTTTAGTTGTTATTAATTTTTTTTAGTTTAATAATTCTGAAATACACAGAATTGATGTTAATTACCTGAAAATTCAAAATTTGCTTACATACGATAATATTTGAAATTGAGTGTCGAAAAGTTTTATATTATTTGGTACTAACAATTAAGTGTAAATTAGTGTACTTTATGATATCTATAATTTATGATAGTTTGATAAATAAGCGATTAATTATTATGCAACTTTATCGATAATCAGATATCATATTTAGATTAGTTGATAATTATTTGGATATTTCCAATTGTTTTTTTACCCAATTTTTCTTGCACCAAATTCAAAATTTCTCATTTATAATAATAATTTTTGATAATTTTAATTGACATTAAATACACTTTGAACTTTTTGCTTTCATCGAAACATTAATTTTTATATCTGTTAACATATCTACTACAAAATTTTAATAAGTCATTAGATAAAATCATAAAAATATCTAAAAATCTTCATTTCAAATCATTTCTTAGAATCAATTACTCATGTTATGACAAAATATTTTGAAGCATACTGTATGCTCATTGATTTGCAATGCATTTGAAAAAAATCAAAATAATTCATATGATTCAATCACAAAAAATGATCAAAACTGATTTCAGTCATCTGATTATGGGAAGTAATTATGATCAATCAAACTGACATTTTGATTTTTGTTTACTTGTTTGAAGAGTAATAAAAATTAGTTTTGATCAACTTTTCAGAGGCCTTTTAAAACGTATTTAAACTGTAACAATAAATAAATATTTATTTCCAAATTAATCCGATAATATACCAACTTTGCACTTTAGGTTAAATAGTTCATAACTTTTATTCACCTTCAAAAATTAAACATTTGTCAAATTTGTGTTCAAATTCACTGAGAAATTTCAAAAAAGCAATCTAAAAAACAAAAGTAGAAAATTGCACAAAAGAAATTAATTTAATTTTCAATTGAAACATTCGTCTTAATTTTGGGCTAATTTTTTCAATTTATTATACAAATACTTTTTAATCCTTTAACAAATGAAAACTTTTAATGTGCTAATTAATTTTTTTGATAATATTACATATTATTTTCATATTAATTATACGTTTGCTATGCTAAACAAGTTAACGTAAATCAAATATTAAATTTTGCATTACTTAAATTACTGAGCTGCTAAAAAAGAACACTAAGCATGATAATGAATTATTAAAATTAGTTATTTACTTTACATGTAAGTTTATTTTTATCTTTTATAAATTTTGCCATTTCAAAATACTTGAGATGACATTTTATAACTAGGTTATTAATTTTCTGCAAGTTAAATTTGATCATAATTTAGATTTTTTTTTTAAATTAAGTTTTTGCATACTAAAATTCATCCATAAATTTGTAAAGTTAATTAAATAAGCACTGGAGCAAAATTATTTCTGACAGTATATTTAATTGAATCTTTTCAAGTAGTTGTATACTTGACTCTTTTATTGCCTTGTTTGTTTACAAAGTTTAGATGCATTCACGTAAATCACGTTTTTTTGCTTATACAAAACTTCAAGAGGGATTTTTTTGCTGGAGAAGAAAAAAGAAAAATTTGTTATTTTCGAGTTATTACTCTTTTTGTTTGTATTATAATAAAAGCACTACTGCGCAGCTTTTCAAAAATAAAAAATAAAAAACGTGAAAAAAATTTAGAAAATAACTGTAAAATGAACATTGAATTTTAGCTCGCTTTAAAGTAACTTAACTTTTTGTTGAATAAATCCGTGTTTTATACTTTTTTCAAATATTTTTCAGTTTCAAAGCGCATTTTTACCTTCAAAATCAGAAGAGAACCATTTCTGAATATATGAAAAGATTTTTCTATTTGCTGAATACTTAGCATTGTTGAATAATAGACACCTTGAATTGGCCTTTATGAGATTCACATAAATATATACTCGAAAAAATTTATTTCTTCTTGCAAAATAATTTTTTTGGCTTCTTCTCGCAAATCATTTATCACCTTTATTAAACAAAAGTAATTTGTATAAAAAGTATGGAGAATGAGATGAAAAAAATTTTCTTTTTAGTCTGTGAAAAAAGTAATCTTCAAGATTTTTTTGAATCAAATCAGTAAATTGTATTTTTTATCCATCGAAGGTTGCAATTTATTAAGAAATAAGCTAATCTCAGTGATTCTGAAAGTTTCAAGGAATAAGCTAATCTCAGTGATTCTGAAAGTTTCAAGGAATAAGCTAATCGTAATGATTCTGAAAGTTTATTATTTTTGTTTCCACAAAACTTGTTTAAATCATAAAATGTTTATTTAATAATTACTGACCTTATTTTATTTGAAATCGAATAGATTTATTAAATGTTAAAAAAATATGGCAAAATGAAGTCATAAATTCAAAAATTATTCATTATTATTGTTGGAAGCTTTGTATAGCAATGAAAAAGTGCGTAGTGACACAGCTGCTTTAATCCTCACAAGCCACTAGAGATTTGAATAAAAACTATTCAAAATAACCACGAAATTCATCAAGCGGTTTGTTTAGGACATTCAATAATACAAAGTTGTATAGTAATTAAAATTTTTAAATTAATTACACTAAATTAATTGGAATTTTATTAATTTACAATCTTGTTTTTACACACTTTTTTTATTTTTTGATAATAAAAAGTTAAAGAAATACCACAGAAAGATTACCTAAAAATAAAAGTGAAAGAAGTAGGAAAGATTAAATTGATAATTATTGTACTGAAGATAATAACAACAGCAAAAGTTAGCAAAAATCATTTTATAGTTGTAATCAGTATTTACTAACTTCATAAATTATAATTATAAATATTGATATTATTTTCGATAATTTCCACTTATCACTATTATTGTCAGCGTAATCAGTAAGCAATATTGTATTCACTAATCTTTTAAAGAGTTATCCAAAACTATCCCATTCAATTATTGCTGTACATTTGCCATTATTTGATCTCTCTTACTACTTTAATTACTGATAAAATGATCACCAAAGTTAACTTCTGATAAGATGGTCCCGAACCTCTATTTATAATTGCTATTTTTTACTAATTTGTAAGGAAAATCAGAAATTATTTTCAGAATTACTATTTTATCAATTACTTAATCCCTGTGATCATTTTTATCAGAAGTCATTAAACCTACTTTTTATAATTGCTATTATTTAATTAATTATGATAGAGCTATGATAATGAGATCAGTAGTCAAAAGAATTGCAATTAGTTCAGGAATGAAAGTGAAAATGAGTACTGAAGTTAATATTCTGTGAATTTTTAGAGAATAATTTTCTAAGCTCTCAGAAACGGTAAAATTCTTTATAAAAATTTGCAAGAATTTTTTTGTAGAACAGTTTGATAACGAGCTTCCCACGTGAACAAAGCCAAACAAAAAAAGCAAGCAAAATTAAAGTAACGAAAAATCTTTGCGTACTTTCAAAAAAGTAATTCACTTCTTTTTTGCCTCCTCCTCCTTGTAGTCAACAGCAATTATTTGATATAATGTATATAAATTTATAAAAATCATCAAGAAATGAATCATTAGGGAATATCTCGGCTAGTTTTGTGCCCGTGTGTGAGAAAGCAATTCAAACCAATCAAAATACGAAAAGCATTACTAACTCACAGATATCACACGGCTGAATTCCACGTGCTTCTCTTTTGTTACGTGCTCCTCCTCTTTTTCCGCACTCCTCCCCGTGAGACTTACCCGTGATCATCCTCTACTTCTGCAACAGTATTTACCATATAAACCAATTCTTGCACCGATAATTGCCAGCTACATTCATGTCTCTCAACAAAGAACATGCTGTAATGATCGTCATTAGCTTATGGGTAATTTTGATCCAGCACTCTCAATGCACTACTACATGGAATATATCAGAAGGGCTTTACATGTTAGCTGAGATTTCATCGGTATGTCTCGAAGAATGTCCTGATTTCTGTCCTGATCTCGAAAATCTGGAGTGTTCTGAGCTAGCTCGAGATCCATGTGACTGTTGCATTGTATGCATGCATCAACCTGGTGAGCTCTGTGGTCCAGCTATTGCTGCTTGCCGATATCCAAGTCTATGCTATCCTTTACCAAGTCAAACTTCTCTCGGAACTTGTTCTGATGGTATGTTTGAGGCAGTTTGATAATGAATGTTAATATTAGTATTAGTATAAATATTAGTGTTAGTAATAATAATAGTAATAGTAATAGTATTTTCATAATCTTGAATAATCTTTCAATATTTCTTTACTTTAGTCTATCAGTTTATTTTTCATTCACCTCAACAACTTGAAAGTTTCTGGAATATATGAGATATCTGCTCATTTTCTGGGATAATTGAAGTAGAGATATAAATGTGCACTGACTTTTCTGTGATTAATTAATGATCGCATAATTTTTGAATGACGTATAATATATTATAAAAATAACTGTAAGTTTTATTAAACTTTGAAACTTTTGCCCCATCTCAGGTCAAATTTAACAGCTTATCAATTATTCTTCGAGCATTATATTTGCTTTCATAGATATTCATCGCAAATCAAATAGTAGTCCTTTACCAGAATACAATCATTTCAAGAATGCTTACTTCATTATTGTAGTCTGAAAATGTTTTTTTCTTACGTTAATTTGATATCAAAAATTGAAAATAGATTATTCTTTTAAAGATTTACATTTCTTATAAAATCTGCAGCGATTCTTTGATAACTTTTTGAGCTTTCAGATAGAATTTAATACTATCGTATTGATAATACAAATAGTAATAGTAATAGTTTAGTTCATTAATTACACATTTCGTTTTGCGCTTGACGTTGTCACTATTATTAGCTACAACTGACAGAAGTATCTCATTCAGAATTTTTTAATAACTTTTTAATGAATAATTTTCCTTCAAAACTCACATTAGTTCATTATTGCTTCTGTTTTAATAACTGCTTTTTTAACGTAAAAAAGTGTGTCGCAAGTGTTGTCGTCTTGTATTGTCGCAATAATTTTTTAACAAAACAAAGTTCAAAAACCCATATTTATTTCAGTGAACTATTTTTGCTATTTGATGTCAAAAATGTGAAAAGAATTGTTAAATTTGATTTAGTAAACTTGAAATAAAGTAAAAAATTGTAAGATTGGTTCATAATTTCATGCAATTAATTAGGGAGAAAAAAATTTGTTTTGAATATATTTAAGTTGTAATTAGTGAAAAGTAATAAACCATTTCACGTAATTATTGAGTAGCGAATTTCACGTAATAATTAGCAATGTGTGATCAGACGAAATTATTGGATCAAATGAAATCAAATAATAAATTAATGGGCGAAAATTTTGAATGCATGAAAAACGTCAACGACGCTTTAAGCTGAATTTAAATGAATTTAGCATGCTAATCATAGTTTCATTCATAGAAAAAGTTACCTTTGTAATACATTTTAAGAATTTAATGACGAATTTGAAAAAAATATTTTCAGAGTTGGTTTCTGAAAAAAATTGCACTGATGAACAGTAACAATAATTTCTAAATAATTTGGGATAAAAATATCAAATGATAATTAATTAAAAGAAATAAGAAACTTCATGTACTAACTATAAAATTAGACAAACAAACAAGAAGAATCTACGTAGTGCATTCGTGGTAAAAAAATTGTATACATATGAAACTTTAATGCAATTTTATAAGAAAAATATGACAGCAAAAGAAAATATGTAGTGGAAAAATTTACATAACCGTCAATCTAGATGTCGTGCAGGAAATGATGAATATTACGTGAGTTCACGCAAATATAAAAGTTTGCATGGAGGAAAGTTGACTAACACATTGTAATAGATAAGTTATTAATAAGCAAAATAATAAATAAAAAAGTGGAAAAAAAATGAAAAAAGAATGCAAAAATAGTGCAAATATGTGGTAGAAAGAGCTTTCATTTTCAGAAGTCAACTCTAAAATATTGGAAATGCTAAAAAACGTATATATTCACTTGCAACTTTTTTATTTTTTTCTTTCTCTAAGAAAGTAAAATTAAAATAAAAAAAGAGTACAACATGCGTTTGTTACAATAATAATATGACAGTTTGCTAGTTTTGATTATTGCTATGTTTTTGTTACTATTTTTTTTGTCATTTAAAATTTATGCTTTAAATTTGCAGCATTTTTTTAAGTTTCTATGAGAGTAAGTAAGTTAATAGTAGTAGTATACTGTTCGTTTTCTCTGTTCAAATGTCGATAGATAAATGCAAAAGTTTTTTTTGAATGTGCTTTTTGACAAGCGATCTTTATGCTAGCATTCATTCTATTATTTGCTTCTGCATTTTTGCACCATTTCTAAGCTTTTCTATAAAATCAATCTTGTTATTATATTTAAATATAGTATTATTGACTGGCTGATTGATTGATTGATTGATTGATCGATTGATCAACTAATTGAATGACTGATTAGTTAATTAATCAGCAAATGCTTTCTTCTTAGTGAACGATTACCCACACCTTTGACAGACAGATGGCAGTTCGGAGTTTAGTAAGTCTTCCTTATCAGATCATATATTACTTTTGTTTTACTTCTAAAATGCAATTATTTATGCATTTCAAGTTTTAGTAATCAAATTATCTCCTTTGTACTTCAAACGTTAAAGGTCAATGTATTTATAGGTCATAAAAATCTCCTATGTGGTAATAAAAATTGAAAATTGTTCTTTAAAAATTTATCATCTTTTCAGCAAAATTTTTATTTCAGTTCTTAAGAAATACTTGCAAAACATTGAATCTCAAATAAATTAAGTTTCTTTTTAAAGCAAGAGTAAATAATTTTGAAAAAAGCCTGAAATTTAAATGAAAAGCAAATATTGAGTGGCCAACTTTTATCACATGTTTTGTTGAATTTCAGTAAACTTAAATTCAATTAATGTTTCACTTTGCAACAAAAGTTAGTCAGTTATCATTTGAAGTACGAAATAACTTACTAGTTTTATTTGTTGTAAATATGTAGGTCATTTCGTGCTTTTAAACTATATTTTTTGATCAAATCAGAAATTTTTTTGCACTAATTTACCACAGAGAAGTGGCTAGTTTAGTTACTTTCAGAATTAGCCACATAAGTATAACTATCACTTTATCAATTAAGATTCCGCTTAATGTTTTAATTGTGTTAGTAATTATTATTATTTTTTGAGATGGAGGAAGCAAATGTGCAGTTTTTTCCCGGAAATAAGTCAATGCTATTTTATTTCCTTGCGCTGAACTTTGTTAACATCAGTAATATGGTCGTAATGAATCTTGGATTATTATTTCCATTCCATTTATCCATTTAAGTTAATAACAATAAGATAACATAACTGATAGAGTTATTGTAACCTTTAACCTTTAACTAACTTTTTATTATGAAGATGAAATGAAATGCTTTAAAGTTACATAAGGAAATAATTTTCACTTCTGAAGTGAAAATCTTGAAGTCAAATTTAATTATTGAAGTAAAAATTATTATTTTTGTTGCATTATGTTAATTCTTCGGTTTGTATTATACGCGGTATATCGAAGATCAGCCAGAAAACGTTTTATGCAAACATATCATATCTGGTAGTATTCAAGCAAATCTAATCGAAATGACCTCTGGAATCCTTAAGGTTTTGACTATAATCAGTCAATATTCTATTTTTTATAATTTTCTAAAAAGGCTTGCCAAAGTGAATTTTATAATATTGTAAGATTGACGTAGATCAGTCAATAAAATATTTCTTAAGTAACCCAGCAACAAGTTTGAAATTTTTTTAATAAATGATAATAAATTTATGATTGTAGAAAGTTAACAACGTTGTACCACGTACTTTCGTAAAAACAAAAGTGGCATTGATAATATTGAATGATATGATTTGGTATTGTTGAAACTGTACGCAGTGGTACGGACTTTTCATATCATACAAAAGTAAAGATATTTATTCATAAATCGTAAATCACTATGGTCAATTTATGATCAGTTTTGACCAGCCAATAAGCCTGTACTTGATTATGCTCTAAAAATAAATTATTCATTTTGTAGTATTAAAATCCATCAATCAATATACCATCTTTTATCAAAAGATATTAAATTTGATCATTAATATCAGGAGTAATTCTATTTTGCCATGCAAACAAAATCATAATCCGTTTAGGTCTATTAATGAGTTCTTTTTTCATTACACTTTTGAAAGTAAACATTTTTATGCAAAAAATTTATCTAAAAATTAAGTAATTGAACAAAAATCAAAGACACATATTAAATCGAAGACTATCTTTATTAATTTTTATTGCTATTACAAGGCAAAAAATATTATCATTTTATGATTTATCTGATCAAATTTAATCAGTAAATTTTTTGATACAATTAATACTTAAAAATATAACTTGTAGTCACTTTTTCAAATTTTTGCATTAAAACTACTAAAATTAGAAGCAGAATGATGCTGTTTGCTTGTGATAAAGTAAAGTGCTTTTATCTAAAGCATTTATTTTCCAAAAGCTTTGCTATCTATCTCTTCCAGCGAAACATTTTTGAAATATTTGTGAAAAATCACTTTCTCCTTCCCATTATTGTAATTCAGTTTATTATTTGATCTGTTTTGGCATTAATCAATAGCGCATTTTAAATCATATAGCTTATTATTTGCATGTGAATATAAATAAACTCAGATAATTTAATAAATTATTTTTTTTCATACTGTCTAATGTTAAAGCATTTTAAAATATTTATCAGTAATATTGCGCATTGATAAGTTGATATAGTAGTTTGTGAACTGAATTAAGTTATAAAAATATGAGATTATATGAGATTATCCGCGAATAGATCAAGAGCGCATGCAAATTAGGCATAAAAAATTTGAAAAAAAATAAAAAAATTTTTAAACAAATTTTATTCAGAATTACAAATTATTTCAGTATAAAGATTTCGATTTTTATATTTGAAATACTCTTGTTACTTTACGCACTAGGTAAATCACTTTTCATATTATTGTAGCTTTTTGACGTCAACAGCCAATCTTATCCCATCAATAATCATATGCAAATTTTGCTTCTACTCAACCATTTTACTTGTCTAATATAATATTCTGTATTATTAAATGCTATAAACTTGACTATTATTAAGCAAAATAAAATTATCACAAAAAATATTTTATGCTCAAATTT